TGCGAACGTTCCCAGGTTGTTCGGTGGTGCCGCCATCTTGGAGTTTTTGTTGGACCTGAGGCGCATCTCCACAGCTCCCCCACCATGCGATAAATGCTTCTTCCGTGCCTGTAAGAATCGTGGAGTGGAAGTGGGTTTGGCAGAATCGATTATTGCTTATCATGTGCGGAATGTGACTGTCCTCAGCCATGTGCTCCAGTTGCACCCCCCCGACCCTCGTTTCTCCCAGCTGGAAGATCGCGCCCTGCAAACTATTAAGTCTGGCCCGCGCTGCAGCTTCAGTGGCAAGAAGATGCATGTCCTCGACGACGCAGGATGCAACGCGCCCTGCCGTTCGATTGCCCCCCTTGTCAAAGCCGCTGTGTTTCGAACGGCCATGGGTTCTAGTGCCAGTGCCTGGGGTGAATATGTGGAGGCGTTGGCTGAGATTCACCGTTTCTCGAGCGACCTCATCACTGCCAGATTCATCTCTGGGCGGTTTGCTGAGCCGTTTCTCTCGTGGATTGCAGATGCGGTGGCTGGGCCCTCCCGGATAGCAGCCGCAATTGACCCTGATCCAGCGCGCTTGATTCAGGCGAAATTGGTCAGATGCGTCTGCACAACACTTCTGAGCCTGGAGTGATGATCGGGGAAGTTCCCAGAAGAGTGCTGACATGGCTCCCTCTCCCGCTCGACAGTGCCGTATGGTTTCCGGTTTTCCATGTTCGGACGTGAAAAGTTTGCCGTTCCGATTCCATGTTTTTAGTTGTTGTTGTCCTGCGTTTTTTTGCCGCGGGGCTTGGACCTCTGCGAGCCTTCACGCCGAACCGAAACAATGCCCGTTTGGTCGTCGTCACGGCCGCGATGACCAGTGTCACTATGTCCAGTGTCCTGGTGTCCTCTCTTTTTTATCGCTCTGGGCTTCTCTTGACTTCCCTCTCGGCTTTGCTTCTCCTTTCCTTGTTCTGCGTTGTGTCGATGGCCGCGCGCCCGATGTCAAACATTATGTCGCCTTCTGCGCCCTGGTCGACAGTTTTGCTCACGCGCGCTCGCAACTTGGTCTTTGGACAGCTCTCGGCCGCGCGTCTTCTGAGCAAGTCTTCGAGGGCCGCTCACGTATTCTGATGCAAAGGCATCCAGCGATTCTTGTTGTTCAGTATCTCCGCAACCCTGATGGTTAGCTGCCTGTTGAATTAGTGGCCTTTGTTTCGAGAGTCGGTCCTGTGGTCCGCTTCCTCCGCCCCCTGCCAGCTCGGTCCGTGGGCCGTCCTTCCTTCCCTCCTCGGTCCCTGGGCATCCTCCTTCTTCGGTCCTCGGGCGTCTTGGCCGCCGCCGCCTTCTCTCTTCGGGGCCCTCGGTGCTGCCTCTCTCGCGGAATTGCAAATCCATGGGGTCCGTGCCGCCCGCCGCCCGCCCTGCTCTCTTGATTGATGCGCTCGGATTGCCGAATCGGTTGCGCGCGCCGTTCCAGGTCGCGTTGGAGCTCGGGCCCCATTGCCGACATGGGGAAGCGGTCCTGCACCCTCTAGCGCAGTTCGACTGATGCGACTAAGCCGAGTCATCCCTTGCTGGCTCGTCGCTATTCGCGCTGCTTGCGGCCGCGCGCTAGGTCGGGACAAGTTCATGGCACTTCGCCCGCCCGCCGCGGCAGCTTGTCCTCGCCAGCCGCCTCGAGATGGCTCGGGTGGCAAGCTTAGTGGCGACTTATGGCCTTGATCGATCGATCGGCCCTTCCCTCCGCCCTCCGCCCCTGCTGCTGCTTGCCTGCCGTCTCCCTTGGTGCCCACCCATTGCGGCGGTTGGGCTTCCGAGGCGCCGGAAGCCTCGAATTGGGTGTGCGTCTGCTCGAGTTAGCGACCGCTTGACTGTGCTCTCTAGTTGGCATCGGACTTACGTGGATTCCTTGCGTTGGCTGTCATCGGTCATTGCCAGTGTCGCTTGGGGGAAAACAGCAACAAACCATCGTCATCATCCGCATCATCATCCTACTCCCCCACATGCAGACCCCACTGGCAGGGCGCGGGGCGCAGTCTGCCCGACGCCTCAGAAGTTTCGGGGCCCTTGTGCCTGGACCACCCCGCCCTGGCCCCCGCCCGCTCTGAAAGCGCGCGAATCAGACCGCCCGACCGAGCAAATTTCTCGAGGATTGTGAGGGCGAAGAGAAGAAGAGAAGGAGGGTGAGATAAGGGGGATCTGGAGGAAGGCAAGAGGAGGAGAAGAGGTGGGGAGACGAGAGCATGGGCGGGACGAGAGCATTGAAGAGGACGAGGGTCAGGAGGCGGAGGAGAAGGAGGTGGAAAAAAGAGACGAGAAACAGTGTTGGCCACGATTCGATCCGCTCGATGTTGCGAGCCGGTGCGGGCGCGTGACATCGGTCGATTCGATGGCAAGCCCCAGGGGTGGCCTTCCTTCTGTGCGGAGTGGGGCTCGACCGAGCCAATCTGCGATGCCGGGGAGGACCCTGGACCCTGAAGGAGGGAAAAGATGGGGGGGGGGCAGGAACATGGATGAGAAGGGATTTATTCCTCATCCCTTTTAGTCGTCGTCTTCACCATCATGATTACCATCCTCGTCATCATCATCGTCATCATCATCATCCCGTTCATCGGTATCCTCTTCCTCCTTTCGCTTCCTCCGAGGGAGAAAAGGGAAAGAGGATGAGTGGGATAAGCGGCGAAAACGAGACACCTGGCCGTCGGTCGATGGCAAAACAAAGAACAGCGGCGAGGGTGAGACGGGGAGAGCATGTCGAGGAGATGGAGGAGAAAAACGAGGAGGAACATATTGTAATAATAAGAGTAATAACAATATTTAATCGTTTCGCTCATTCCGCCGGCCCATAAAGTCTCATGTCTGCCGTTTGCCCGAGGGCCTGGTGTCAATGCGGCGCTTTGGGGGTTCTTTTGCCAGGCGTCTCGGGAACCTCTTGGAGGCAGTGTTGCAGGAAGCCTCTTGAGGCCCCGTAAGGGCCGTTTGGGGGTCGTTGGGGCTTTTTGTTGGGCTTCTTGGGTGGTTTTTGGGGCGTCTTGGGGGACTTATTGGCGGGATGTTGGTGGCTTCTGAGGTGCTCCTGGGGGCAGAATCCCCCTTTGGGCGCCTCTTGGGCGGTCTTGGTGCTCTCGTGTGCCGTCTTGGGGTTATCTTGGGCCGTCTTGGGCCGATTTTAGCGGATTGTTGGGCTGTCTCGGGGCGATGTTGGGGGCTATTTGCGTAGTCTGAGGCGCTGTGAAACTCGAAACGCCGTTCATGCGGGAAGTGTACATGTTCCTCTGGGAATGGGACGATTTTTGATTGTAATGGCCGTCTTGGAGGGCCTCTTGAGGCTCTCTTGGGGCTTCTTGGCGGCCTCGACGGCAATTTTGAGGTCATCTTGGGCGATTTGGAACGATTGTTCGGCGACTTGAGGCCGCTTGGATTGTTTCGGGGGCGTTCCGGTGCCGTTTTGGCGCGCTCCTGGAGCGTTCTGGGGGCATGAACCGAATGTCGCGCTCTGGGCGGCGTGCGGAAGCCATTGTGTGAGAGGGCGCGGTGGTGAGAAGAACAGCTCACCCCACCCGGCTTTCCGGGCTTTCCGGCGTAAGGAAGGCTTCTTCGCGGCACTTGTGAACGCTCCTGGACAGTGCTTTTTGGGCAGGTTCTTGACGCTTGTTGCAAGTCTGTAGGGGCCCCGTTGGTAGTCTACCGAAAGGAGAGCACATTGTAGCATCGCTTGCACTTGCTTGCGTGCTCGGGGGGGCATTTTGGGGGCCTCCTGGGGCCGCTTGGGGGACTCTCGGGGG